ATAACAAACTACTATGACATCATGACAGCTTTAACAAATATGGAGAAAACATATTTTTTATTGAAGTTATGTACTGCAGCTTGAATAAAATGCAGCTACGTAGCATTTTTGAGAAGTCTGGATTGCTTTATGTGTAGTTGCACGTTGCTTTTGACTGTTGCTCCTGGGGAAAGACATTTCAGTATCTAAAACTAATAGAAAAAAATGTAAGCAACCTACTTGCAAACTGTATGTGGACTGTTGGATGTTAAATTCATGAGCAGTAAATATTGTGCTAATTATCAGTATTGAACCAAAGAAAGCAAGGCAGATGCAAGCCTTTAAAATTGTGATGCATTTTATGGGTCAAATAGACTCAAAAAATTGTAGCAGCAGCTGCGTAGGGGGGCCCAAACAAATTTTTTGTCAGGGGGCCCACAATTCCTGGCGGCGCCCCTGTTTGTATGCTTGTCATTTTATGAATGAATTTTGGAGAATTTTCCAAAACTGGCTAAGTTCATTGAGGTTCTTGGCATTACCTTCTGTACAGCTCCCACCAATTCCTTTTTTTATTATTATTTTTCAGGCACTCTGTTAAAAGATTTTCTGCTGTGTTGGCTTTTTCCAGTTGTATGTAATTTTGATCTAAAAGCCTGTTAATAACTAAAGGGCATCATTCTTTATCAATCCAATTGACGTATTGCCTTCCCCTTGTTCATTTTGAGGAGAACTTTTATTTGGGTTTTTGAGTATCTGAAAATTTTTAAATTTCTAAAATCAAAAGAAATTTCTACCAGATTTGCAAATGGTAATATATTTTGGCCTAGACTGTCAAACAAAGTAATCACATTTTAATTTATTTCAGGACAACACACATTTTTTATTATCTTATTTCTTAAAGTACATCATTAGAGCACTTAACATTAAATCATAAGATGTTTTAATCTGCAAATGTTATCAAGGAAATTCTACCAAGACATCTCAGACATTTCTAGCAGAGGTTTTCAGTGACAGTTTAAAGAAGCTCTAGAAGAGATGTTTCACTCTATAACTAATATTTTATTTTAACAAGGCCATACATCTCACCACAATGGAAGCAGTTTCCTTGAATCAGATATTTGTTGCCAATGAAAGAGAACATCTGCTTAGATAGAGGCACAGACTGATCAATCATTTTCTACTTCTAATGAATAAAGTGTCCAGAGAACCTATTATCTATTTGGTCTGTTTTTACTGCACTTTAATATTTTGCTCTAATTGCTATAGTCAACACAACATAAACTTCATGCACTCAGACTGGACCTTCCTTAATTTCAATTGAAAAATATATAAAAATGCACAGAACAGTTCAAGTGATAAATAGCAGCAGTGAGGTTGTACTAGTGACCCGCAAAACAGAACACACTTCATCTGGGCTTCATTTGTTTGATGTGAAGCAGGCCAAATGGAGCCCAGTGGAAAATTCACACTCAGATGTGTGAATTTGACATCAGAAGTTCTTCCGTGTGAATATTAGAAAAATATTAGTTGGTTGGTCCTGTTGTTGACCACTATCACTATAAAATCCGGTTGAAAGAGCGGAGTTTATAACGTCGGCGCCTCGGTGGGTTCACGCTGCCCCCTAATTGGACGGCAATGTTACTACCAGGGGCTGCACAGTGGCGCAGTTGGTAGAGCTGTTGCCTTGCAACAAGAAGGTTCTTGGTTCAATTCCCAGCCACAGTCTTTCTGCATGGAGTTTGCATGTTCTCCCTGTGCATGGTGGGTTCTCTCCAGGTACTCCAGCTTCCTCCCACAGTCCAAAAACATGACTGTCAGGTTAATTGGTACTGTGTGTGCATGGTTGTTTGCCCTGTGACAGACTGGCAACCTGTCCAGGGTGTACCCTGCCTCTCTCCTGGAACGAAGCTGGAGATGGGCACCAGCAACCCTCCTGACCCCACTAAGGGACAAGAGTGTAGAGAAAATGGATGGATGTTACCACCATACAATTAGAAGCCAGCAGCAAATTTTAACTTCAGACAAGATTAAACTGCAGTGGATGGAACTGAAAGGTAGAAATTAAATCCTAGGAAAAAACATAACCAACATCAGATTGAATACACAAATGAAAGCCTAATTTTGCAACTGCCATTAAAAAAACAACTTATTTTGCATAAAATGAAAAACTTTTAACATAATAAACAGATCTTTGCTCCCTGAATGTGTGCATTTCTGATATGCTCATTTACTGATTTGTTACATGTTAGATTAATGTTGATGTGGATTTAAAGACATAACTTTAAAATTTTTAAAAATCTACAAAAAATGTCTCAATCAGAGGTGAGTCAGAGCAAAGCTGAGACCCACCGAGGGGTCGTGACTCCAACCTCCACGTTGAAGTCCTCTGCTCTATTGAATGTCAATGTGTAAAATTCAGTTTCAAAGGAAAATGTTCGGGATTATAACTGTATTCAGGTTTGAAGCTTCAAAAGCTGACAACCTCAGAGAAAATAGTTCCAAGTTGGAAATACCAACGGTTTACTTTACAGTGATTAAAAGAACACAAAAACAAGCAACCCAATCAAAGCACTTGAATATTCGAATTCAAACGATCACATACTGAGGAAATAGATATTGGTACAGCGTTTGCTTAAAAAAATTTGTACAAAAGCTATTTCATCTTTTTTTTATTCATCATCTTCTTCAGCATCCAGTGGTTCTCTGTTTGGCGGTAGAGATGGTTTAATGCGTTGCCAACGATTTGGTGGCCAGATGATGTGGGAGGCCCTGCCATGCAGGAGCCCCAGTGACACCTAAGGAGGAAGGGAAATAAAAAAAAATGTTTTTAATCAGTTTTAATATTCAAAGGTCAGAATTCATACTCTGGTACATTGTTATGTTTTGTCTTGTCTTTTTTCCCTCCAAAACTCAGAAAGTTGGGGGGATGATGAGGAAAAAATGTTAAAATAATAATGAAAGAATTAATTCAAAATTGATAACAGTTTTAAAAATCTGTTTTGATTACAATGTAATCTGTTTCACAAACATTATTATAAAATATAAGCCAAAATAATTTATTGAAATGTTATTTACCATGCTCATCTTTCTGATTGGCTGCCAGTCAAGTTTTTCAAGTTGCTTGCTGTCTGGCTGGGACAGCCCTACAATCTGGAATTAAAGGCTCAACTAAAAGTTTGGATTGCGCTTCTGAACCAGACGCGCTCCACAGCGTCCAGTCCATAACTCTTCAACACACAGTCAGCTCCTGGTCAGAAAGATGCATGTGTGCATAATTTGAGATTCGGAAAGGATTTTTTGGGGGAAGACGTCTCTAATCCACAGCAGCTCATTCTCTCTGACGGCGGTTACCAGTGCCATGTCTTCTGCCGGGGTCCGAGCTCCAAAGATTATTATTCGTCAAATAGCTAATCTAATAGCTAATTCCTCTGTGTATGAGTCTTTCCAGGTTGAAATTTAGCCTAGGTGTAATTTCAAACTGGAAGACTTTTCACCTCACCAGGCTCCTCCTCTGCAGTCTGTTGGTCCACGTCTTTTACTCTATCCACCAATCATCAGGCTTCGATTCCTTCATAAAGTCCGGCGTCCTCTCACCTGCTCCTCAGTCGATCTTCAAGTCACCTCCACCCCTACTCCACCTTCAACTTCAACTGGAGTTCTTCAGTTCCCTTTCAGTCTGGGCCCCTAGAGGAAGACGTCTCTAACCACAGCAGCGATTACCAGTGCCATGTCCAAGCACCAAAGTTTATTTATCAATAGCTACTTTCCCTCTTTCCAGGTTGAATTAATAAACGTCGACAATAAGTGAGAGTTTTCTTCCTCTTCAGTAAAAAATATGGTCACAATCATTTTGTGATCATATCAGTAAAAAATATGGTCAGGAATCAGGACTGATTTTCTTGAAAGTTTGGATAAGATGGAAAGGGCACACTAAGAAGATATTACCTGTGAAGTATAACTTTTGTCTGTTATGGGGCGACTGTGGCTCTGTGGGTAGAGTAGTTGTCTTGCGATAGGAAGGTTGTAGGTTTGATTCCAGCTTCCTCCTGCACTTAGGCACTTAACCCCAAATTGCCTACTGATCGGTGTATAAATGTGTTTGTGAGTGCGAATGGGTGAATGTGACTATAGTGTAAAGTGCTTTCAGTGGTCAAAAATGACTGAAAAAGTGCTATAAAAGTTCAGTCCATTTACTCCCCCGTATGGATATCATAATTGTTATTGTTTATACCGGTCCAAAGCAGTTGCTGTCCAGACTGTGTCCACGATGATCCCCCTCTATCCACAAATGACCGTTAGGGACCCGCACATATCGATTCTTGTAGCTTAGAGTCCTGTAGAAATGATCAGAGAAAAGTAAAATATAAGTTATTGAATACTTTCTTGCAAAAATAAATAAATAAATAATATATGGCTTTAGAAAGTGATAGCATATTGAGCTTGTTTGGTTTTCTCTAGTCTTTTCTCTTCCTCCCTTTTTTACCAAACCTCTGAAGATAGGAACCAGCATCCTCACTACCCAACAAGGATAAGCGTGGCAGATGATTGATTGATTGGTCTTTGCGAAACAGGTGGTGTTAGTTTTAAAACACATCAAGTATTTTTTGCTAACAAGAACAACAAAAAGTGTTGAAAATCCAGGTAAAGTGTTGAAAATCCAGAAATATTTGTAATTGTTTGTGTACTATGTAACTACTTTGTAATTGATAAACTTTAAAAATCAGTTTATAAGAGAAAATTCTGACTGTCTTAAAGAGTTAAATAGGAAGAAATACCTGGCTATAACCACAACATAATGTGTGTTTGTTGCTACAAAAGAAAACATAACAAAAAAAAAAAGGATTTCCCTGTGATCGGTGCATGGTTGTGGTTTTAATGACTGTTTCTTTTCCAAGTAATATACAGTTAGCATGCCTCTGGTAAATGATTAAAAACAGTTTGAGGCTACTGCAAGAGAACTGGGAAAACATTCCTACCTGATGAAGTCTCCCTCTAGGCCAATGACACGCTTGATGATCTTCTGCTTGGGATTTCTAGGGGAACTGAATTAAATAATTAAGCAAATTAATATGTAATAATTAATAGTAACAGGCACAACAGGTGAGAACATAATTGCATCCACTATTGAATGATCCTGTAATCAGCAAGTGTGCTGGCAAGTCTCTAAGTTTTTGAAGGTTTGAAGGTTTGGGAAGTCCCAGGAGGTTAGGTGACTGGAAGAACTGTGATATCTTATTAACTCTGGGTTTCAGGAGTTTTATTTTGCTTTTGTTTGAATATTCAGTTGCTTGTTGATTCATAAAGTATCTCAAAGCAAGAAGGTAAAGTGAGTCCAGCCGAAGCTTAAGGTAGAGAAACTATTCTTTGTTCATAAAGTGTGGGAATTCAGAAGTTAAAGTGGAAACAATGCCATGTTAAATTCTATATATTTTTGTAAGTCTTTAATTGTATTTTTGATTATTCTCAACCTTTGTGCATGCGAGGACTGAGGCAAACGTAGAGGACTATGGCAAATTATACAAGTTTTATGTGTGTGGGGTCGGTTGGACCCCATTTCTACATACAAGGGTTAAGTTAAAATCAGTGTACATTTTGATGTTTTTATCAGTTAACATGCAGCTAAATGCTGTAAAGCTTTAAAACAATTGATTTATCCTCTTTAATACACTGGACCTTGGTTGTCTTCATTAGGATGGTAATGTGAAAAAGGCAATGTGTGAAGTTAATTACTACTTGTGAGAAAAGTAAATGAGATTTATTAAACAAAAGTAATGTAAAGCTTTAATATAGGTGGTGTGTATGTGTTGTATTTTTAAAAAGAATAAAACAGAAAAAAACAACCTAAAAATAAACTTCAATGCATGTTCATAAAGACTGTGGCATTTACTCACACAACAGAGACAATGTCCCCTCTTTGAACTTGGTTGTTTCTTACACTCCAACGATTCAGCAAGACAACATCAGACTGGGCTCCCACATCTGGGTTAAGGAATGGCTGTTCAGAAATAAAAAAAAGTTAAACGTTAGTTAAAAGACTTTTGAGAGAGCTTCTTTGAAGTTTTCAATTGTAACAGTTCCTTTCTCTGCAGTAGAAAGATGCCATATTACCAGGATCTTATTGGAAATTAAAATAAATCATAAGAGTTGTGAAAACATGAAGCTAACAGTCTGTTTTAGCTGACTTTATCAGCTTAAAACGAGTCAAATTAAAAATGTTCAGATTACTGGAATATTACCCTCTTTTGGCAAATATTAACAGTATACAATTTCAAAACAGATTGTTACATTTGGAGCTGTTTTTCTCTGCCTAACAGTTGCATCAGTCCACCAAATCAGGTGTTTCTGCAGTGTTTCTTCCAAACAACCATTGATCACAAAAGTACACCAACATGCCATCCACATTGGTACTCCACACTGTGCTTTAACTAAAACAAAAGTTAGCAACACCAGATTATCAGGTACATTTGACACATGGACAGGAACCTGATGGTACCAAAGACAACTTGACGAAAACCAGTGTCCCAGCCAGACAGGAGGAAATGTGAGGGACCAGATACCTGTCCTTACTGGTGAGATTTTCTTCAGAATGAGTCCATGTGGATTGCCATGGAGGTTCAGAAAAAATGGCTGATCACATCAAAATGTTACTTTTAAGCCAACTCTCAGGGCCACCACATCTAAACTTTAAGATGCTGTGATAATTCTTTGCCCAGGTGTTAGTAAAATGTTTCCACAAATAGATATTCATCACCTTGATGAGTCATGCAGTCTCACCTGCATGGATGCTCCTTCCACTCGAGCCACATACGCCAGTTTATCTAGGATAGTAACTGTGACGGGAACAGCAACAAAGAATCCACTAATGAAAGTTTGTAAGTAGCGCTGTCCTGCTGATGTTTGCTGTGCCATATGGTAACTGGAAAGGAAAATACAACAAAATAAACTAAACAAAATCAGAACTCTTGACGCCAATAATAATAATCAGAAGAAGATTAGATATTATATCAGAGAAGAATTAAGAGTGAATAAGAGCTTCAAAGGGTCTGAGAACAGGCGTCGTGTGGCGCAGTGGTGTAAACCAAGAATTTATATTTATTTGATATATTTTGCAGAAAGTCATTACAGGGAAAACTTCATAAATAATTATGTCATTTTTTTGTGGGAGTGGAATAGAAAGCGATTTTGTTCTTATTTCCTTTAGAGATGCCGTCATGATTTTTAAACAAATGTTTTCTTCTCAGGATAGAGGGGAAGAAAATTGATGTCAGTGTTCCTTATTAATTTCTTGTAACATTTTTGGTTTATATGATAAGTAATTACACATTTTCTCACCTTTCAATTGTTTTATAAACGATGTGGAGATATGTTTCTAATGAGATATTTGTAGGCAAACACAAAAGCAACATGCATCAGCAACCACTGACCCATCTTTAAGCCTCATCCTGTTCACCTTTTCCTGCTGCTGACAGGCAGAGCTGCTGGTGCTAACATCTAGCCCCTACAGTTAACAGGGAGTTAGTTCGTAAAGAGGCCCAGAGAGCACTGAAGAATATACAGGACAAACAGTTCAGATGCTCTCTAGTTAAAATACTCTCCAAAGTAATCGGAAATGACGAGTTTTCTTTAAAAAACAAAAATAATAAACAGCGGCTAAGTTTGAAAAGCTAAAATACACCTACCCAAGAAATAGCAACGTGACTTCCTTTTTAATCCAACTATATGTGTGGTGCTCTGGGTCTTAAAGCCTGCCACGTTCTTTCTGAATAAAATAGCTAAACTTGGAAAAGCGGGAATTCATGAAAACAATTTTAGATAGATAAACACGTAATGTTTAGTAGGCAAGTAGCAGCCTATATTAACAGATACTCTGCTAATTAATCAGTTTGCTGGCTGAACTCAAATAAACATCTGTCAAACAGTCAATCACCATTTTATTGAGCTTATAATATTGTTAGTGTTAACATTATTGCTATCAGTAACAATAACAGACATAATGGTATGTCAGATCAATATGCAGTAATAAATATGGATATTCAGGACTATGTAGGATCCATCAAGGTTCATTGTTCTAGACTTTTGTTTCAAAACAGTAGTGATGGATGTTAACACTACTACTACTACTACTAATAATAATAATAATAATAGATTTATTTTATAATGCCTTTTATATCTCGAGATCTCAAATGACTGGAAGTTCTAAAAATTAAAATAAATAAAAGAGATTAAAATAAAAATCTAAGAAAGTGAACCAAGTGGTATAAAGCTGATCTTGAAATTGCTGTGTGGCTCTTTACTGTGATAATGAGCTTAATTTGGCTCTTAATGCTGAACTTCGTCACCCCTGACATGAGCTAAAGTTCAAAAAATGTATGTTATTTTCAGGTACGATTTGAGTAATTTCAGTTATTCTAGATATTACATATGTATATATATATATATATATATATATATATATATATATATATATATACACACACACACACACACACACACACACACACACACACACACACACACACACACACACACCGTAGGGGGGAATATGTTACAATACGGGAAGATAATAATACGGGAGCACGGCGGGAAAGAAGGGTAAAATACGGCAGTTCCCGTCCAAAAAAAGGGACTTGACAGGTATGTATGACACTATTTGATGTTATAAATTCCCTCTGATTATCAATTGACGTCCACACTCCAGTCCGGTAGGTGGCGGTAAATGCCCTTTAAGTTGGTTTGCCAATCGCCAAAAAAACACAAAGGAAGAAATATCCCTACGTAAAATCCGTTATGGCCGCCTGCGAGCGAACAGCAGACTGTGGTATGTTAAAGTTTGACACCTGGCTGTGGCCATTCACTGAAAGAGTTGATATGTTTTAAGTACGCACATTGTGTGGTAGTGAACGAAAGCAGCAGGAACTACATTCACTTTTCAATTCATCCTTCACTGCATACATTAGCTTTTGATTTAAACCTTTTGACATGCTGTTATTGTCTCTGTACATTTAAAAAGGCAGCCAGAAAGCAGCTAATCTGTGAAAAAAGGGGTTTGAATCTTTCGGAGCCCACAGCTCTATTGTACATCAAAAAGGATCTTAAGTTCAGTTTAGTTGAAACGAATTTACATTTAACTCAATTTTAAGACAAGCCCACAGATCAAATTCATACCCGTACACAAACTCTCTCTTGGACTTGATAAAGTACAATAATACAAAGGACCAACACCAGCATGTATGCATGCATTAGGTGGAATAAAGCTTTCCATTATTATTCACACAGGGTCAGTGAACTCACTGAATCGACTTTTATTAAGTGTGTTCGCAATTTTTGTTTTTTATTTTTTGCAGAACTATGATCTGAAAAGGGTTAGCCTCAAAGGTTTGATTAACTATTAATTTGTCTATTGACTAATAGATAATTAGAGAAGATCTATATTAGAAATAAGCCTTTGCTTACTCCCACCTTTCATGTTCATAAATTTTATTTTCGTCTGTCAGATTCATTCCTTAGGTCTCTGCTGTGTTTGCTCTTATTTATGCACGTTAGTAAGCCCTCCTTTAGATTTGTTTTAAATGACTATCCTTCAGGCAGGGACAGCATATTGGAACCTTTGAGTTTTCCAGAGCTTGGAGCTGGAAGTCCCAGCACTCCCATTGTGGTACAGCATCCCAGTGATGAGCTGCTGGTCTGTCTGTTCTGCTCTGAGTCTGTCCCGCTGCTTCAGAAAGACACCCTGCTCAGACACCTGCTGCTGGAACACAAGCTGATCATCGCTGATATCAAGCTCATAGCCAGCCTCCCAAGGTAGGGCTCTTTTCCTTTGTGTGGAGTTACAGAAATGTATGTGTGACCACACTGAGCTGTCTGAGTTCACTTTGTCAGGTACTTGGTTTACTGGAAGGGCAGGTTCCTTGAACAACCAGTCACAGATTTCTGCAGTGTCATAAAGACTAATTCCACTGGCCCAGTTGGTGAGTCCATTGGAACACAACAATTCATGACCTCCTCAAGAGTGACAATGTAATTAGTATTTAGTGTCAAACATGGAGAAGCAGCATTCAGCTTCTGGAAGTTTGTTCAAATCTGGAACAAACTTCCAGAAAACTGCAAAACAGCTGAAACATGATTTCCTTTACATCAAGTCTAGAATTCCACCTGTTTAGAGTTGCTTTAGTGTCATAAAAAAAGGAACATTAACCAACATGTTTGTATTGATGATTTCAACGATGGCACTTGACAAAATGTAATGTCTGTTACTGGTTTTCACAACTGTTGACTGTATGATGTGTTTATGATGTTTAAATGTTTGCACTTTGAACTGCCCTGTTGCTGAAAAGCACTGTACAAATAAACTTGATTGATTGATTGACAGAGAAAAGCCAGAATTCACTTTTAATTTAGGCTTTAATCAGTGTAAAAAAGGAAAGTTTGTGAACACGACTTAACTGCTGATAGCAAGTTATTTACCTTGCAGAGAAACAGGAGGATTACTTCCTGCTATGTGATGTCCTCCCAGAGGACCGGATCCTTAGAGAGAGGCTCCAGCAGAAACGACTGGTGAGGATCAGCAACCCAACACTTTTTAAAAAGACAACTGGGACAGTTTTTCAGCTACATCTTTGGAAATATGGTGTCATCAGTTTTGATGGTTCATTGTAAACAACAACAAAAAAAATACTACAATAAATTGTTGTTTTTGTATGTTGCAGAATATGTATCAGGTGAGGGCAGGGACAGAAATTTATTGCAGGATTGCAGCTATTGCAGATTATATTATTGATCCCCACAAATTTAGTCTCTGTAATGTAATTTCTTGCATTCCATTCCTGGGTCAAAATTCCTTAAACGCTTTAAAACAGTGACTGCTGAAACGAAGTACGGCACACAGCTACAAACTGTAAAAATGATATACTATATATGTGCATATTTACTGCTGCTAATAGATGATGTGTCAGAGCACATCAGAGTTCTGTCAGTTTATAAAATTCTCTCAGATTTGCTTTCTTAAAAATAACACTTTACTTTAGGAGGAGGTCCTAGAGCAACAACAGAAGGAGCGTGACGACTGCTACTTCCATCGTCTTTGTTTATTCTGCAGTGAGGAGTGCACTGGAAACAGGTGAGAACGCACCAGGGTCAACACTAAGAGAGTGTATAAGGACATGTGTGATTTGTAAGGTGATTTGTAGTGGCGACTCCTTAAGTCCTACAAACAAACTCCGATAGCAGAAGTTCTCCCTGCAATTGGTGGGTCACCTGTTTGATCTCTGCTCCAACCGTCTGTCGTTGTGGTCAAAGCACTTCACCCACCTCGCCTGCTGAGGGTGATCAGAAGGACCGATGGCTTGTTACTGTCAGTCTGCCCCAGTGGCTACGGTCCAGTAGCTTGCCATCATAAATGTGTGAATATGTGCATGAATGGGAATGACTGCAAGTGTCTTTGAGGATCCTGAAAAATACTATATAAGTCTGATGTCATTTGATTTCATTTAAGGAAATGTGGACAAGTTCGAACAGCTCTACTCAAATGTTTACTCAAATGTCTATTTGAGTAAACAGACATTTAGTTATTATCGTATTATTGATCCTTTCCATATTCTGTGTTCAGGGCATGTCTGCTGAACCACATGGCCAGAGAACACTCATTCAGCATTGGGCTGCCAGATAACATTGTGTACTGCAATGAGTTCTTGGACACACTACAATATAAACTAGACAAGTAAGAACTGACTCTATAGCAGCTTGGTTTCTCTGACAAAACTGCTAAATAGATTTTTCAATCATCCACAGATAAGCAGTGTCAAATGGTTACAATGTAGAGAATAACTTTGGAAATATGGTGTTTTATTTTTAATCGGACGTTGGGGGCGGGGAGAAACCACAAAGGACACCATCTGAAGCCTGGATTTCTCTGAGGTTCCTCACTGTGCACAACTAGAACCCAATATGTAGGCTTAAAACATGGTAGAAGTTGATGTAAAAAAAACTAGTCTTGTTTTTTTCCCATACTGTCAGGACATCTGTCATGAGAACAGTTGCCCGCACACACGCACGCACAATCGTGTCTCACTTTACTGTGTAAATTTGCATTGTGGACTTGCACCTTTTCTCCAAGTATAATCTCTAGTACATGCCTAACATGAACTCAGTTCACCTCAGTATCTTTAATAATAGTGGAAAGTCTTACTCAGTTGTAGAAGTCGTCTGATTTTGGTTTTTAATCACATTTACAGTACAGACCAAAAGTTTGGACACACCTTTTCATTCAAAGAGTTTTCTTCATTTTCATGACTATGAAAATTGTAGATTCACACTGAAGGCATCAAAACTATGAATTAACACATGTGGAATTATATACTTAACAAAAATGTGTGAAACAACTGAAAATACGCCTTATATTCTAGGTTCTTCAAAGTAGCCACCTTTTGCTTTGATTACTGCTTCGCACACTCTTGGCATTCTCTTGATGAGCTTCAAGAGGTAGTCACCTGAAATGGTCTTCCAACAGTCTTGAAGGAGTTCCCAGAGATGCTTAGCACTTGTTGGCCCTTTTGCCTTCACTCTGTGGCCAAGCTCACCCCAAACCATCTCGATTGGGTTCAGGACCGGTGACTGTGGAGGCCAGGTCATCTGGCGCAGCACCCTATCACTCTCCTTGGTCAAATGTCCGTCATGTTGGCTGCTAAACTGAGCCGTAGCTTCACGTCGTTCAGAAAAAAAAAAAAAAAATTCTTATTCCCGGGTTTCGGCACCAAAATGTTACGGAGTAAAGCTTCTTCTCAAACAAGACGGAGGCTCGTATTTCTTTTACTGAACCTTTCTGTTCAGTATTTATTGAAGAGGAAAAAAAACAGCGTCAGCTGATAACGGGCAACAGCTGTTCGTAACCAATAGCAATCAAAAGTCAACAAAGCAAGATAGTGACAAAACAGTAACAGATCCTTAAGCATTCTTCAAAATAAAAGACTTCCTCTATTCAAATAAATCATGTCTTGCACTTAAATATATTTCACTTCACCTTTGTAATT